TTTTTGCAGTTTCCACCAAACCTCGGTTGTAAAATTATATCCTGCAGTGATTAAAACACAGTGGTTAGATGGGGACCCTCTGGAATCCCATCAAGCCACCTGGGGCATCCCTGAGCCCCCACAGTGAGCAGACTCCTAAACAAGTTACACAAACATCAGTCTTCATTGTCAGCCAGTCTACTAATGAATTATTGACAAGCATTTGGAGCCAAGGAGTTCATATGATCTGATGCCCTCTGCGTCAACTGGCTACAACTATCCCATCTACCTGCTTCTTACTAATGTGCATGAATGACACTATAGAGACAGCAACATGATCATCAGCCACTACTGACGTGAACATTTATTATGGCCTCATATGCATGGATCAGTTAGCATACTTCACATACAGCCTGCTGATCAGTGAGCTAATTAGAAAATAAAACTAGGCTGAATATAAGTAGTAAGGTGTTTAGTGATAAGCTTAGATCTGAAAGTATAGCTGCAAACTGGATTAAGTGGGTGAAGGTATAGTGAACAGCAGTAACCCTTTAATCTAGTATGTGAAGGCAGGAAGCCAAAAAGAGACCAGCGGGACTTTCAGAGAGCCACATTAGGTAGCTGGAGAGGAATGCTGGGTGGCTTCTTGAACACGCCTAATACACGAACATGATATCTCCGGTTTGTTTCATTTTGGATTTGTCCAGTATTGTTTGATTTTCACAGTTACAGTCTACAAAGTAGTATTAGTAGTAGTGTAATGTAGCAATATGAAATTTATTCTGAATAAGATTTACAACCACTTTCTAACATTATGATAAAAACTGGTGATATAATTTGCTTGGAAAGGAAAAAGATCGCTGGTTACCGTAGATTCCAGCCGGAGTCACCGATCTCTCCTTTGAGGTTGTGTCAGTAAGGACATCCAGTGTAAAACCAAATCCCACAGAGTTACCCCCTGTGGCAAGAGGGCAGCTGAAAGTAGCTTACTTATTTAATCAAAAAAATAACTGACCAAATGATAATTGTAGTCCTAAATAATACAAATGCTGTATATTGATTTTGGTCCATCCCATATGGAAAAGATATATATAAATCTTATAAAGTTTGTATCTGTCTTGTGTGAAACTTGTATGAAAAGCATACAAGTGTGAAAACTCACTTGAAAGTGGCCACTTTCATGAGTAAATCATATAAGTTTTTACTATTTATTTTCCATATGGGATTGGTCCATGTGTGAGTGTATGGTTTTGCACAAGCCCAATGCTTTTACACTAAAAATCACTTGGCTAAGCATGGGTTTTGTTAAAAGCACTGAAAAGCACATTTAAAGGATTTTTAACCCTTTTCCCAAACTGCGAGTTCCAAAGATGTCAACCCGATATGACGTCTGACTTTACTCAGCCTGTAAACCAAAATAATCTTAGTTTGTCTTTTTTCTAGTCTGGTTTGATTATTTAGGAAAATACCTTCAAAAGGATGGTTAATGCTTTGAATGCCTACTAATATTATTTTAAAATATAGCAAGGTATTTATCCTTCAGAAGAACCAATAAAGTGGCTAGTGGGCAACTGTCAGGAAACTAGTGAGATCTCATTTCTGCTCCAGTTCTACATTTCAGTGTCCTGGTATTTGCAACTCTGCTGTTTTTCATTGTAACAGTAACAGTAACAGTCCAGTTCTGCTAAGATGCACTGAACTCTGTTTGCTAAGCAAACAAACATAGGCTGTCAAAATAACATTTCATTGTTCCTTAAGAAAAAGAAAGAAAATCACCTGCACAGTGTTAAATGATTATAATATTTGTATTGTGTCCACAAGAGGTCAAACCAATACAAACGTGCTGTGTGGGATGAATCAGTTGGAGCAGAGCCGGACTGAGAACTCTCTGCCACCATTAAAGTTCAGTTATTAGCTAGTTTCAGCTGGCTTGGTATCATTTTCAGATAGTGAAAGTAAAGAGATGCTGTGCAACTCCTGTCCATTACATTTTCAGCATATGCTCCAGTGTATTACTAATGTGTGTTATTAACCTACTGTTGCAACCGTTATCTTGTCATTGACTCTTTATAACACAAGAAATTTATAAGGGGAGAAAAAGGGCAAATATTACAACTTAACACCATTTACGTTCAGCTGCTCTGCTGATATCTGTCTCTGTCCCTTTGCACCAGCAGCTGTGTCTGCTGTTGGGACGTTACACCCAATATACAGCATTATGGGTGATTTGCGTTGATAGACACAAAGTCACTGGATCTAAGTATTTAATTCTGGAGAAAACTTAACTTTGTATTTTGTGCCACTCCTGAGACAGAAAGCTGACCGTAGCGTTGTGCTTTTTCCTAACTCTTTTATAATTCTGTTATATAATCCAATTAAACAGTGCTTCTCCTGATATCTCCTAAAAAAGACTTGAGGAGGAGCACTGAAGACAGGTTAGAAAATATATAAAACAGTACTTCTAAGAATTTCAGTGACTAAAATTAACTCAGGAAAAGAACAAAACAGGGTGAGCCACCTGTTTTGGAATAACTACACTGTATCTCAGAGCTCTTGGTGCTACCAGCATCACATTTGATTTTAAACTGGTCTAGACAGGACAGGCAGCCACTACATGAACAACTCTGCATGTTACACTTTTAAAGAGAGCTATACTGTAGGCTTATATGACATCATTTAGCTTTTACCTAATCTGAGGCGGCAGCGACTGACGAGACTGACTTTCACCACCACGATCCACACCCTGTTGCAGAGCAAAAGGTAACAAACAGGTACAAAGCAACCCCAGTTAAACCTGTTTATTTCATTTGTACTTTCCCTCTGCAAACCTGTAGCATAACAGAGAAAGTTTTGGCACAATCGCAATAATAAAATTTACTGTGGCTTCTACTGACATCGCACAAGACGGATGGCACAGCTTTTTAAACACAAAGCAGTAGATTATCCACAGTACAGATATATTTTTCATCATGCGTCCACTCTAAACATTCCTCACACCACCTCATTTAAAGAAACAATGAGCCTTGACACAATATTTACTTTTTTTAGAACAAAGATGCACTGTACGTAACCCAATACTGTCAGTTGCACTCTGTTTGCACGAAAACATTGATGTATTTATAGAGTGAATAACTAAAATTTCAGTACATGCACAGCGGGCCTTTTAATGTTTCTGTGTGAAGCATCATAATTAACAAATTCACACAACCTCAATTCTGATCTTTGGCTGCTTTTTAAATGTTTACTGCACGTGTCGGCATGTTAATAGAAACACGCACTAACATTTAATGATGAAAATTCTCTCATAGTTCAGTTCAGTTTATTGTTGAGCTGTTGTGAAATCACAGGGATCCTTTATCCGGCTGTAAAATCTGTCACAGTTGTTACGTCTATTTGTGAAACAAATCTCAACGTGCCCAAAGCCCAGAGACTCAAAGGAGACTGGTTTCTGAATTACAGCCACAAACAAGTCTATACATGAAATACTTAGAAAACTCAGAAGATGAGACCATGACTAAGATACTAGGCATATTATTACTGTGTTTACATGTCATTATAAACACCTGAAAATTAAACCAATTGTCATATTTAAATACTCTACAAACATTTGTTATTAGTATGTTTTTAGCAGCCTGTTCGTACCACAGGCTCTTTACATCATAGCAGAAATAGTATAAAGCCTGAATTTACATTTAGCTTCACTTTACAGACTTGGTCACAGGGAGAATCCTTCATCTGACAAACAGATGGATGTTCCTGACCCTGATCTTAAGTATTCAGCAGCCTCTTTCCACCACAGCAGCAATGCAATCAATTTAGCCCTAACCCATTTACCTAAAGCATTTATCCAGACCAATTACAGCAGCAGACCTCATCAGCATCCCACATCCTACACCAGTCACCGGCTTCTCTCTTCATGCTTCTAGCTACATGGCTCCATTTCACCCTCCACACAGCAGGGAATTGTATTTAATCAGCTAGTTGCAACAGTTGGGAAGCAGTGCCTAAGCTTCAGCTGAGTACGGAGCTGGGGTATAGGTTGGGTATAAACCTCACTGGCTCTCATGTGAGCAGGGCTCGCACTGTCTGGATTATTGTCAAGCACATTACTGCCGAGCCTAATGTAACCCATATAGATGCTGCCCATCGATTTGACTAGCAGGGAGAAAACAAGTGGATTACATAATTCATGTTCCATTTTGTTCTACTGGGAGGTAGCATAATAAATGAGACTGAGTGGCAACGATGACATGAATGATAATAGCTGCCTGTCTGCATTTTTTGGCATGTTCTGCCATGAGCAGATAGGTAGTCACCCACCCACCACTTACCAATACTGTGAGGTGACTCAACCTTTCACTCATTCAAATCACACCGCGTTTGTTGTTTAAAGATGTCTGAACAGTATCTGCAAAAGTACTTGGAACAATTTTGTACATACCAAATAATATCTCTCTCACATTTCGACATATATATATATATATATATATAGATACACAATGTTTTTCAGCACTAACAGATATGTGAGGAGCTTATTATTTAACACATGCTTCAACATAAATAGCTGATATATATTTAAAGAATATCAGTGAAAGATGCATTTTACATGTGCTTTCAAGATCAGAGTAGTGGGGATCTAGTGTCATTTGTGGAGCAATGAACTTTAAAAAAGTAACTTAGAACTGCCGAAATGTCATTGTTGAAGTTGAAATAAAGGGACGTGGGAAAAAAGTTTAAAAAAATATATAAGTTGATAAAGGTTAATTAGTCACACGATTTTTTAAGTGTGGGGAATTTTCCCAACCACTCTTCAGTGAGTTGCTTTCCACTCCCTTTATTGAAACCTAATCCTCTGAGAGCCGCTTCGTCGGAATTTTAAACGAACGGTGATAACAAAAAAAGTTCACAGGTTTGATTTAAAATGGAAATGTCTTTGGTTTGTAGGCAACTAGTCGCATGTGTTAATGTGAATATAAGGGTATTTAATTTTTAAAAAAAGAAAAAAGGAAAAACAAACTTACATATCGGCTGATAAGAGTACGCAGAGTGCTGAAATCCATCCCCATCCTGTTCCTCTTCCCTCTCCGGACACTTCTTCTGCTCTCTGTCTTTTTCTCCTCCAAAGGTTATTTTTACTGCGGGCGCTAGCTTCTTTTTAATTCTACTCCTCTGTCCATGACTTTCTCTTCTCCCCCGTCTTCTTCTTCCTGAATTGGAAAAAAAGGACTCGCTTCCAAACTCACCTACGGACCCCGCAACGGGCTTTAAACGGGGGAGTGTCTGTCTGTGCGTCTTCTACAGTTTGAAGACAGTTCACACGGGCAGCGAGCTGCTCCTCCTAAAAGACTAGAAGCCAAACTAATATCCAGCTCTCTCGCGCTCCCTCTTTCTCTCTCTCTCCCCCCTCTGCGCGTGTACTAATAATCTTCTTGTCTCGCGCCGCGGCCAAAAGAGATTTTCTTTCATCTACGTCACGTGGAGCCAGGTGGTGGCTCTGGCACCGGGGGTGAACGCATGCGCGCTCTAGTGTTTGTGAAGAGTAATTATTGATTGGGTGTTTCAGTTAACTGTGGGATATTTAGTATTTTTTTTAACTTAAAAAAATAATAAAATAAAATAAAATAAAACAGACTGGTGCTATCCATAGATATGGTGCTGAAATCATTACATAAAATGTCAGAAATACACATAACTTACACATAATCGCATTTATTTATTTATTCATTTGTTTGTTTATTACTTAGGTTAACTAAAGTTTTGTGATACAACAAATAAGGAATTTGAAAGGTAAAATTTATATTCCTTTTGCATCTCAAATCTCATCCACTTTTTCAAGCTCGGTTTAAAATGAGAAGAGATTTTCATAATATTTTAGACTCATTATTACAAGTTATTACTGCTGTCGTGACGCATCGGTTTGTAACAGGCAGGTCAGCGGGGTCAGAACAAAATAATTCATGGCACCACGTTTCAGGAGGGAAATATTTTCATCCACTTGTCCGCGCCCTGTTTCCTGGAGACGCTTTTCGGCGGGTTCTGTTGAAAGTCCGCCGTAAAAATAGAAATAATAACCACGGTTTCTTGTTTGAACCTTCAAAATAAAACCTACGTGATGGATTTTGGTTTAAACTGTAACAACTTTATTAATGATATGTCATAAATAGGCTTTTAGTTGTTTTGGTATTTTTGCCGTTCATTATTTATTTATTAATGGGACTGGTAGATAATTAAACATCCGGCATACATGTTGCACCTTTGGTCTTACTTACCAGTCAAAAGGTTCTTTTTTACATTACAAGTTCCCCTTACATATTCATTGATCTGGTTATCTTGTTTTCCTCGTCTTTCTTGACGTCGTATGTATTATCGTCTTGTTATTTTTTTTGCGGAACAGTGCTTCTAGTTTTGATGTGTACATAATTTATTGAGCCTTCGTTAGTGTTGTGCAAGTTTTTAAAAGAAATAGGTAAGAACATGTATGCTTTTATTTTGAAGGCAAATGGCGCTGGTCGTTGTCAAATTCTTCCTAGCTTGCCTGAAGTTGTCAAAATGGCGTTGCTCGTAGTGGGGGATTTGAGTTAGTTCATATTATTCATTCACATTTATTCATTTATTGGGGAACACACTGCCCATTTGCCACGGAGAGCATGGCAACCCTGGATCAGAAATCGCCAAACGTCCTTCTCCAAAGCCTCTGCTGCAGAATCACGGGGAAAAGCGAAGGTACATCCGTTACTGCTAGCAAGCTTCGCGCTACTGCACTACTGTAGTAGTCAGGAACTGCCAAACCTAACCTCATTCAAAAAAATCTATTTTTTGTTGTTTCGCGTCCTGTTATTAAACATACATGCTTCACACGAAGCAGTATGTGAGTGATTAACTTCCAGTGGCAAATTCGGCATTAATATTTCACATTAGACCGCTCTGATTTTTCTGTTTATTAAACGTTTTAAGCAGCGGGCGCCGACTCACCCGGTTTGTTTTGCAGACTGAATATTGCAGAAAACGGTTGAAGTTTTACTTAAATAACTGCTGCTCAGTCTTTCGGACAATTGCCGAATTGAAGATAGGATTTTATTAATTTCTTAAGGCCTTCGGGAGTAAACATGTCACTACAATGTCACATTTAAATTATTAAGAAAATATATTGATTTCTTTTTATGTGGCTATCGCTTTAGCTGTGAGGAAAAACGGGACGTAGCGGGGGCTCGGTTCGCGTATCTGTCAGCCAATTGGCTTGGCCAGATGCTGCACATCCAGCTGAACAGCTTCACGGTGCTTCCACGAGTCGCTGTCTTACACCGTTACTTTTGCTCAAATAAAGTGCTTCGCCTTTCTCGGTTATCTTTTAGATTGCTAGCCACTTAGCTCTGTTTCTAATCTGTGTGGTAAATTGGATGCAATTGCCTGGCTAGCTGCAGGCCCCTGTTGTAGATAGAGGCAGAAGCAGTGTTTTTTTTTGTTTTTGTTTTTTTAAGTCACTTTTGATCAAAGGCCCAAAACCTTTGCAGTTAGCAACTGCAATGAAAATTAGCTTTTAAAATATGTATCTAAAGTGTTAGTAACACTGTCCCATCATACATTATCCTTATTAAAGTAATGGCAAATCTGCACTCTCCTGGTCTGTAAGTTCATTTTGTTATATCCTGTTTATGCTTTTGGAAAATAAGTAAAGTAATGATGTAACAGGGGAAAAAATCCCCCAGTCAACACACTGTCATTTGTACATTCCTTCAAGCTGTTAGTCATGTCTTGATATTTGTTTTTTGTTTTGTTTTTTCAGCTGAAGTTGCCCACCAGTTCCAGTACGCAGTACGAGTCATTGGCAGTAACTATGCCCCTACTATTGAACGAGACGAGTTCCTGGTGTCAGAGAAGATAAAGAAAGAGCGTGAGTGGCATTTGGATTGATGCTTTCCTCCCTCCCTCTGTGAAAGCAAATCCATTATAATCCACTGTATATTACTTCATTTAGTCATTGTGACATCTGATCCCCTTATGTCAGAATGCCAGCTTTAATACATGTGCTGGAAAATCGTTATTCCACCATACTACAGAATCCTATTTGACTTAAATGGCAGCAAGGTCACACCATTAGTGGGAAAACATTGATCCAAGCTTTGCTGCAGACTGTGAAACCAAAATAGCACAGCACTTACTGTACAGCATTTATTTATCCCAGGTGGACTTATGAGAAGTTTTTGCTTAGTCTTTGTGTATTTTAATTGCAACATTGCCACAAAAGTGATAACTGGATATTTTATATTGGTTAATGATGTGAAACAGTCAGACATTTAAATGAAATTAATTTTGAGTGAGTTTGAGCATATGAAATAATGTATTCCAGTGACTGCTAAAGAAATAGCATTTGTCTTGCAGCTCTAAATGCCAGCAGTGACAGGATGTACCAGAGCTGGAGGGTTGGTTGTCAATATGAGGGCAGTTATAAATACAAACACAGCATGCTTTATCTTGATGAGCAACTTTGGGCTTTCAGAAGGGCGCTGCAGTCTGCTGGCTTTCTTTTTGAACCTCCAGAATACATTTCCTACTTTTCTTTGTCTTGGTCTGCAGTTTTAACAATATCCCATTTGTGGAGAGTTTCTTTTTGTTATTTAAAAACCTTTTTGGCACAGAACCATTTCCAGCTTTGTTCATCTGTTAAATGAGCCATTCATGGAAGAGAAACGCCACCTAACACAGTCGGTCTTAATGCTCTTGCAGTGCTGAAGCAGCGGAGAGAAGCGGATGCAGCTCTGTTCTCGGAGCTGCACAGGAAACTTCAGACACAGGTTGGTATTTGGATTTCTCTCTGAAAGGTATTATTACCCACAGAGGTATTAAAGCTTTAATGGAACAATTTCCCACTTGACTCATGATACAGCCTGCTTGCATAAAACAGAGACCTGTTTAATTTGGTTCAGAGTAAGCCTCTGAAGGGCTGATAACACAGTACTGGTCATTAATTGTATATTAATTTATTTGTTTATTAATAAGTCTCACTAGTCGCCACAGTCACCCCTCCAGATAATAATACTGTTTTGTTTATTAAATGAAAGAGTCTTCCAAAGGGTGCTTTTTGTCCTGTCTCACTCCCCTCACCCCTACTCAATCATGGCAGATGGTCGCCCCTCCCTGAGGTTGGTTCTGCTGGAGGTTTCTTCCTGTTAGAAGGGAGTTTTTCCTTCCCACTTTCACCTAGTGCTTGGCCATAAGGGGTGTCTGATGTTGGGGTTTTCTCTGTATTGATTTTGGGTCTTTACCTTAAAACGCTTCGAGGTGACAGTTGTTGTGATTGGGCGCTATGTAAATGAGATCAAATTGAACTGATTTGAAGGTGGTATTTTTTTAAAATGTTGTTTTCCTGTTTGCAGGGTGTTCTAAAGCATCGCTGGTCAGTTCTCTACTTGTTGCTTAGCCTTTCTGAAGACCCCCGCAAACCATCCAGCAGGGTGGGGAACACACACACACACACACACACACACACACACACACACACACACACACACACACACACACACACACACACACACTTAAAAACTCTTAAAATCTTTTAGATTAGAGTAGCTTTACATGAATCAGAGTTAAAAGTCATTCTTATATATCTTACATTTGCCCTTGCGTCAACACCCCAGGTGAGGTTTCATCAGACTGGCTACCTCTTTACAAACAGATGATCTGAACTGCAGATGGTGGAAGCTTCAGTGCTTATAGCAACTTATGAGCCATGATGAATATATAAGGATATCCCCTCTCTGTGATATCATACAAAGCCAAGAGTAGAAAGAAAATTAAACTGAATGTTTAAAAGCTCGAGCTTTTGGATCATAGTGATTACGTGTGTATATGCACTGATGCTTGATACTTGATTCTGGAGACCTTCAATGTCTGATTGTACTTCCTAGGTTGGAAACTACGGGGCACTGTTTGCCCAAGCCCTCCCCAGGGACGCCCACTCCACCCCATTCTATTGCACCCGTCCGCAGAGCCTGGCCCTGAGCTATGGGGAGAGGAGCACCGGCCTGTCAGCTAGTGTCGGGACCAGTGGGATTTCAAGTCTAGGAGTTTACACACTGAACGGACCTACACCAACACCACAGCCACTGCTTGCAGGGTGAGCATCTTCATATCAGCTTGTTAACACTTCAGCTTTCCATGTCAAAGCCATGTACCAGAGGTTTTAGGCAGCCCCGAAAAGCTCTGCAGTGAAGGGTTGTTTTTCTGATGTGTTTGTGTGAGAAGCCCTATGTGAGATACAAGAGGTATCATTTAGTAGCAGAAAGTGAACTTGCCTCTTTCCTCTCAGCCTGACCCCTTATAACACAGTTTAACGGCCATTTAGTCCCATTTTTTTCTTATTAATAATGCAGTGGGCCTTTAGTAAACAGTGACCATTGGGCTGTCTGGGTTCACCTTTACAAAGTCTTTAAAAGGCAAT